CGATTCTTAAAGGGTAAGTAAAGTAAATTCTAATAAAATTTATGCGATTTATGAAACTTTTTTTTTCTTTGGTTTTAGAAAAATGGGAGCAAATTCCACCGACTACGCACATATTAATGACACATGGCCCGCCCTATGGTATATTGGATGAGACGTTTCATGGAACAAATGCTGGCTGTAATGATCTATTAGAAAGGATAGAAAAAATAAAGCCTTACGTTCATGTATTTGGACATATTCATGAAGGTTATGGCGTATTTGAGAAGACTTGGAAATCTGTTGATAGGAAAAAAACTACCTTTATAAATGCTTCAACAACAACCATAGAGTATAAACCTGAAAATGCGATAGTTGTTTTCGATATTCCTCCTTTAAACATCAAATGACTTAAATCATACGAGGCTAATAATCTTATATATAATCCAGTGATGATGAATTCATATATAAACATTGGTTTATGAATGCCCATCTTTAATTTTTTATGACTTTTTCCATCCGAGAAATTTATTATATTATTTACTGTCAAAATAATAAATGTTAAAATTATAATTAGCAAATCGATAAATTTCAGATTTAATATCAAACACTATCACCGTGCGATATGGGGTAACTTATTTCAAACGATTATATTAGTATCAATCTTATTTCTGATAGATAATACTGAGCTTATACTTTTAATTGAGCAATATCTAAGGAATGTTACTTTTGGCTTGATTGCATGCAAGCATAAACTATTGTTATATATAGTAGTATTTATATAAGAAAAAAAAGTATAAAATATATATTAACTTCTGATTTTAATAGTTTGGATAATTTATATTATAAAAATTAGTAAGTTATAACACTTATAATATTTTAAAATATATTCAGTCAATGTTTTAAAAAAAAAAGGATATCAGATCCTATTAAGATAACTTTTAATATATTGATCTTAATTATATCTTATGATGTATTAACTTTTATATAAATCTTCTTTTAAAAAAAGATTATTATACATTTATTAAAAATTAACTTAATGTAAAGTAATATAAAATTCTATTATTATTATTAGATTTTTTAAACATAAAATTTTATATATAAATTTATATAAAATCATATAAAATCATATAATTTTACAGATTATACTTAAAATTATTCTTTGTAAATTTTATTTAATATAAGTTTTATATAAATAAATTTATATAAATTTTGCATAATCTTATATAAGTTTACTTAATTAATATAAGTTATATATAAAATTTTACTTAAAATTTTAGAAATATTCATATTAACCATTTTTAATAATTAAATTATTTTTAATAATTATTAAATTACTACTATATAACAATAATTTGTTTAATATATTTCAGATAACATTTGTGAAATTAATATTATTAGTTAAATAAAATTAAATCAAATATTTTAAAATTGGTTTTAAATTGATTTAAATCAGTTTATTTAAAAAATAATTTAAAAACTAATTTATTTAAAATTTTTATTACATTAAATTATTAATTAAAAAATTTAATTTTATTTAAAATTATAATCATAAAATATAAATTTTTAATAAATTAATTCAAATAAAACTAATTTAAGATAAGATTTTAATTATTTTATAATAAATATATAAATTTATATAATTATATAAAAGCATTTTTATAAATTACTACTTAATTATATTATTATTTAATAATTAAATTACTAATATTATAATTAATTATATTGCTATTCAACTTTTAATATATATATACAAGAATTTTTTAAAAAAATTAGGTTTCAAAAAATTTTTGATTAAAATTAAAAGTTTAATATATTTTAATCTAATAATATTATAAACTAAAATATAATAAAAATCTTAAT